GTATTCATATATTACTGTGGATTTATCCGTTTGGCTCTAATTCGCCAATGAAAAATTAGCGTTTGAAAAATTGAAATTAGAACACAACATTTCATTGATTTTCTCGAAAACTATAATATATAGAATGAATCAAAAGATGCATATTAAAGCTGAATGTTTGGGGAATGTAGACAAGTATTCATATATTACTGTGGATTTATCCGTTTGGCTGTAATTCGCGTTCAAAGTTTAAAAAATGCTCGAAAAAGCAGTGTTTTCACATTTCATTGATTTTCTCGAAAACTTAATACATAGAATGAATCCAAAAGATGCATATGAAAAGCTGGAATGTTTGGGGAATGTAGCAATGTATACGATATATTACTGTGTTTTCCGAATTATGGCTGTAATTCCGGTTCAAATATAAAAAAAGTGTGAAAAAGNCATGTTTTTACATTTCATTGATTTTCTCGAAAACTATAATAGATAGTTATGGGGAGATTGGATATGCAATTTAAACTTCGAAAAAGCAATGTTTTTACATTAATTCGTATAATTCGACAACCATAAATAGCAGAACGATGACTGAATACTCAAATTAAAGCTAAATATATGGGCTTAAAAACTATAATTGATAGATTAAATTTAAAACATGCATATTAAAGCTGAATATTTGGGGAATGAATCCAAAAGATGCATATGAAAGCTGAATGTTTGGGGAATCTAGCAAGTATTGATATATTACTGTGGATTTATCCGTTTGGCTGTAATTCACGTTCAAATTTAAAAAAATGCTCGAAAAAGCAGTGTTTTCACATTTCATTGTTTTTCTCGAAACTATAATAGATAGAATCGATCTAAAAAATGCATATAAATGCTGAATATTTTGGGGAATGTAACGTGAATTCTAATATTGGTTGTAATTCGCGTTCAGAAATGAAGTAATTGTTACATTCCCCAAACATTCAGCTTTAATATGCATCTTTGTATTCATTCATTCTATATATTATAGTTTTCGAGAAAATCAATGAAATGTGTGTGTTCTAATTTCAATTTTTCAACAGTTTGGAAAACGCTGATTTACGTTCTCGTTTGCAGCTAGTATCGAACGTACGTTTAATATTAAATAAGTGCAAATTGTATTTAGTGTTTGCGGTCATGAGGAAATCGAGCGACGAATATGATTTGCGTTCAATTACGCGTCTACCGCGAACCGGAGGCTGCGAGAATTAGCAATTAGTAGGTAGGTAATTACTCACCCTTTTGGGCTCTTTGGTGCAACGTGACATGTGCACAATGTCGTGGGCGGAAAACATTTTGGCGCGATGCGTATTATCCCTGCAGTGCGAACAAAGCGCTTGACCTAAACAAATTACGAAGAAATAATAAAAACGAAAGTAAATCCTAACAGATGAAAGTAATAAGAACGTAAAATAATTATAATATTAGAAATGCAAGGAAAACGGAAATAAAAGACCAACCTACGAACGTAAAACATAAATAATTGTTGTATTGTGTTTTTTGCATTCACCGCATGTGTTGCAGTAGTACATGTTCATTCTGTCCCTTTTATCGCAGTTCGAACAGGGCGGATTCTCGCTGTTCGCAATGTCGATCAGCTGTCGCATCAATGTATCCGGCGGAGGCAGATTCGAGCCATCCTTCAGCGCTGTTGGATGCCTGAATATCGGATGGATGGAAGGAAGGAAGAAAATAGAGCCGATAATTTGATGCTTGGTGGTAATAAGTTACCTGCAGAATGGGCATATCAATCGGCGTTCCTGTTCACGACCACGAAGACAGCGAGTGCAGAAAGTGTGGTAGCAGCTCAAGATGCATGGTTCCGTGTAGTAATCGTGGCATATTGGACAGAGCAGCGGATTCTTGGAATACTCCATTGCTATCTCCGCGCCTGGTGGCTCCATACCCAACGACTTACACTTACTAAAAACGAAACAAAGATTTATTAATAAACTGCTCATGTGGTTGATGTAAACATTATCCAAAAAGCAAGACTAGTTTGTTTCATAAACACAAGTGGTAAATGTAAGAAATCAAGAAAAAAAAACAAGGATTATTTTACTAGTCTAAACGACAATCGTTTGGAATTTTGTTTAATTTTAATGAATTTGTATTTTAATTACATTTTTTTTTTATAAAAATCACATCACAAATAACTATTTAAAAATTATGTAATAAGTACCTAGAAGTAATAAAAACATCGTTATTTTTAATGAGCTAATTAAGAAATAATTTCGGATAATTCTGTTTTCTTCAAAAAGGTTAAAATTTCTGGATTATTATTTTAAATGATCCAATGATGAAACAATATTAAACTTTATCTTCTTCTCGGCGAGTTTAAAGTTTCAGGGGTAATATGAAATTTCGAGTTATTAAATTTAAACGTAATTAATAAAATCAGTAAAGTGTGGGGATTAATTAAAGTTGAGACGCGAAGTTGAACGAACCGCTGATGGGTAGGGTTGATTTAATACGACAGGGTTATAACAAAATTGCATCTTAATTTGCATGCCGAGAGGCATGGAGTGCTGGGATGCCGTTGTTTCGTACTTGCATAGTAATCAAACCTACCAATTAACACTAAAACTATACACCGGATATTTAAATGCTATGCAGCAGAATGCATGCAAATTTTCGTTATGCAAACACAAGTATGTGAATTTCACGTAAATACATGTATATATTAAAGTCGGCTATGATAATTTTATTTTTATATAATATGTATAGTCCATATAAATATTTATGTTTAAATAGTAAAATATCTGACTTAGCACAACCTAACCCAGTGGTTTCCAAACTTGATGTTACTATGCCTCCCTCAAAAATATGAAATCATTTGGCGCCTACCCACACCCCTCCATTTTATAAAAGGAATGCGTATTACAACAAGATGGATAATAGCATAGGAATGTGTCTATACTTGCAGGATTCCCCAAACATTCAGCTTTCATATGAATATATTGGATTCATTCTAGTTATTATAGTTTTCGAGTAAATCAATGAAATGTGAAAACACTGCTATTTCGAACGTTTTTTTAACTTTGAACGCGTATTACAGCAATATGGATAAGAGCACAGAATGTATCTATACTTGCTGGATTTCCCAAACAT